TCAGCTGCTGCTCCCTCAGTGGGGTGAATGCCCTTGTGACCCATTTTCCCATACTTTTATGCTACTTGAGGAAGCATGAATCAGGTTAGGTAAATTAGATGGTGTACCCTTGAGAAAGAAGGCTTCTTTTAATGTGTTAAGGACAGAAAAGGCTATGTTGATCACTTATCCTTCCCTTTAAGGTCTCAGAACTCCTTACCAAAAAAAAAATTAAAATAATTCCCAGGACACAAGCATGGGTTGAGTCCATAAAGTGGGGGCAACGGGTGTGTGTATGTTTGTGTTTGATTCAGATAAAAGCCTCATACCAAATTTTAATGTTCCTGGCCAGTACACACCACTGTAGCCCTCTTTGAGAAGAAAGCTTTTCAGGGCTGCCCAAAAGTGGTGTTATCTGCTCCTGATGAGTTTCTGTGACCTTTCTCTGAGAAAGGGTCATTGGTAGAAAGACTTCTCTGTTGCTTGAAGGAGAACATGCATGTTATCCATGACACACATGAACTACACCTGAACATAGGCTGCAGTCAGGACATGGGGCTCCTTATCCTTTTAAGACACCTAGATCTCAGAAGTTAGGGATGAAAAGATAAAATAAATGTACACAGTAAATGAGATTCTAGTGGATTCAGTGTGTTGCTCATAGTTGAAGGACCAACTGAGCAGTCCCCTCAGGGTTATTTCCATAGGATATGCAGGAAATCCAGACAAAAGGACTAAAGCAGAAATCTCAAACTTCCAAACTATTTTTTAAGAAATGTGTGCACAAGGTGCTGCATTATATGTCAAAGCCATAAATTGGTTCAGGAATGATGCAGACATTACCACTCTCAACACAGGGCTTGTTTCTTGTGGAAATATTTTTGCCCCACTGACCACTGCATGTTCCATGAATAATCCAAACAATGTAATGTAGGTGTTTTTAATAATGTGTAAAGTTAAAAAATGTTTCATTATTCAGCCAGAGAAAACTGATAGATATCCAAATTAGGCAAACATTATATTGTAATCTAATTGTTAAATTACTTCTATTTGCTTTTGTTCTTTTTAAATATTGTATCACTCCCTTTAATTTATGCAGTACTGAGATACTTATCGAAAAATTGTGAAGCAATACTGCAATATGTTCTGGGGAAAACCCATCTGCACTGACTCTTTTTTGTTGAAGTTATTTCACATATGCCTCACAGACATCTTCAGGATTGTACATCTCCAAAAATAATTTTCCAGACTTGCAATGATATTTGCCTTAATTTGAACTAGTAAGGTCTAACTCCTGATCTTGTCAATTCTGGTCTCAAATTGACATTAGCAAATTCCTGGGAACCACAGTAAGGGGTAGTTTGGATTTCCCTGTTTATGAGCAGGCATTCTTTAATCCTGGCCAGCTTTTAAGTCTGAACCTCTTGCTTTTTGTTTCTAGGTTTAACAAGGATATTGAGTTCATGATTGGACACAAGCCCAACATTTTCTGGCAGGTTACCTGGAGACTCATCAGTCCCCTCATTATGTTAGTTATCTTTATCTTTTATTTTGTGGTGAAAGTCAACCAAGAACTGCTCTACAGTGTTTGGGACCCTAACTATGTAAGTGTGCAAACCAAAATATTTATTTATAATTATTTTAAGTATTATTCTTTAATGTAAGAGTCATTGTCAGTTATATTCATCTTCCATCTGAAAGAGTTTTCTAGCAAACTTGCCGCAAAACATGGAAATGGGACTGCTTTCTTTTCTCCTCTTTTGCAACCTCACTTCCCTCTTATTGATGTTTCATCTCTTCCTCACCCTTTGATTTCAGCCTTCCCACAATAAGGCTGATTGGCCACAAGGCCCTGGTGGCCTGTCAGGCCCCCCATGCCCACACTCCTTTGTGCCAAGGAAGTGTTCCAGTCCCCCAGTCTCCCTTCTGGCTCTTACTGATTTCATGCCACTTCCTTTACATCATTTTAAAGTAAAAATAAGCCCAAAAGAGCTGAGGCTGGAAACCCTTGAGCTGAAAGCTGCTGTGGAATTGGCAAACTGTTGTGCCATTATGGCCAGCCGGTGTTCTGATCACATTTTTGATCTGTTGAATTATTGAATGTGTGCATGGTCCCAGATATTTGCTCCTCATGGCTTTCTACAAATTGGTTGTTTGCTCTTTCAGGAGGAGTTCCCCAAAACAGAGAAGACTGAATATCCCCCCTGGGTGTACGCTGTCATTGTAATCCTCGCCGGAGTGCCCAGTTTGACCATCCCTACCTTTGCCATCTACAAAGCCATCAGGAATCGCTGCCAGAAAAAAAATGATCATGCTGGCCTTATTGCTACATCTGAGACTTCCATTAATGGGAACTTAAAATATTCATCATAAAACCATTTTTTTCAAATGTGGAAGGATGCCCTGTCAGTGAGGAAAGTAAAAAAAATTATATTTTTTAAGAATGCAGTTAGTTTTATTTTCATGAAAGGATAACCATGTGCTGTTTTCAGGTAAATATTTGTGTAACAATGCAATGCACTGTGAAGAGTTGATGGCCTGACTTCTGGAAGCAAAAAAAGTGACATTTGCTAGTGATTGGGGCAGCAGGCCAAATAATTTGTCCTCTTTCAGGTTCTGAAGCCAGTTTGTTTGAAACTGGCTTCTATCCCCTGTGCTTGGGGATGAACTGTGCATGAAGTGACTCTTCCATGTGTAATCATTCTGGTTGGGTGGCCAATATGAAGGGTAACTTAATGCTGTCCTCTCTTGCACATTAAATTGTTTTTACTTTACATGCCACTGTGTTGCACAAAGCCACTAATATTATTTGTGTCATAGAGAAGTCTAAAATATTTAATAAAAACGTTTCTAAGTATAAGAATGACAGCTTGATTCATTTAGAATTCTAAATATATTTTATAAATTGCCTATAACTTCCAAGTTCCTAGCAGATAGTGCTGCTTTTGCTGATGACAGCAGAGGAAATCTTGCAATGGGGCAGCAGCAGCTCAGGAAAGAGCAAAATCTGCCTTCTGTGGCACCCTTGAGCAGGGGGGCACCACTTGCCAGGGGGACCCATGCTCACGGGAGGCCAAGGCACACCAAGGTGCAAATCTTGCTCTCCTCTGCTGTCATCAAGGTAGGTGGCTCTGGTTCATGTACACACACACACCCCCAGACCCTACAACTATTTGAATGTTTTAACTTCCATGTGACCCAGTGGAGCTCAGTGAGGAGTCCCATTCCTCATGTGGCCACCACAGAGGGAAAGGGGCACTGTTAGAGCACTCAGGCAGAGTGCCTAGAGCAGACAGCGTCCATGTCCCCTCTGGAAGGGTGATCCTCTTCATCCAACTGTCTCTGTATATGGACAGTGACACACTTGTATAACCTTGGAGCAATTCCTACACCCACCTTTTGAAACAAGAATGGACCCAATTTCAATCCTCATACTGATTGTAATCGAAACACTCTCTTAAAATGAATAGGTACACTTAGGGTATATTTACTCCAGAATGTATCTTTAGAGTAGTCTGTCTCCTCTAAATTGAGAGTAAAGTGCCAGACATTGCATGTGTACATCATGGAATCAGAGAATCAATGGTTTGGGTTGGAAAATATCTTGAAGATCATCCAGTTCCAACCCCCCTGCCACGGGCAGGGACACCTCCCACTTGACCAGGTTTCTCCAAGCCCCATCCAACCTGGACATGAAGACTTGCAGGGACGGGGCATCCACAGCTTCTCTGAGCAACCCATTCCAGGGAATCTGAATGACTAAATTAATTTATATTCCATTTTCAATTTTTTGAATTACATTAATATAAATAACTATTTAAAGTTATTTGAAGATGTTACTCTTTAATAGGAAGTACATTTTTTGTCAGATTTTTCTGCTGGTAAAAAGCTCAGCCACCAGGAACGAGCAACACCCCCTGTGAAGTGGCTGGCTGCAGTGCCAGGTGTGGAATTCAGGGTGTTGCTGGAAGGGCCCAAGCCCAACCCAAGGCATCTCCTGATCAGAAGAGCAGCAGGGGAAGGAGTGATGGTGGTGTGTGCCCTGGGATCACTGACACTGTGCAAGGGCTGCCAAACCACCCTGTGTGTCCAGCTTGTGTGTGCCCTCTGAGTGAGACAACCCTGACAAGACACTGGGAAGTTGAGTTGCTCCATCTGTGAGTCTGGATATTTGCAGAGGTGTAAGCAGATGAGCTGTGACAGCCCAGGGAGAATCAGGCAGCCATGATCTCAAACTGGCTTCTGGTTGGATGATCTGCAACCTGATCCCATTTGTGTGCTTAGCTGCAGAGCAGGGCTTGTATTTTGGGGAAAACAATTCACCCTCACTTAGAAACTACCCATTTGGAGAGGGGAATCCAGGCATAAACTGTTGATTTACTGAGGCAAGCAAGCTGACTGGCTGGTCTGTTTAGTGTGGAGTGAACTGATTTGGCATGCACACCAGCAAAACCCTGGTATGACTCACAGAAAAATACTCTCACATACTTTCAATTGAAGGAAAGCATTCAGTTCTTGCATTCATCAGTAACTCTTTAATGAATAATAAAAATAGTCACTGGGGATTCATTGACAGGTGGGAAGTGATTAACTTCTAGCAACTATTGTGAAAATGGACTAAATTCTAATGTCTGAACATACAAGGCCTAATTTTTCTTGGCTTTTTTTTCTAATTGACTTTTTTGTATTTGGAGAAGATGCCTTCATTTATTTACTTCTATTAATAAACTAAGAAAGGAAATGCCAACATTTTATTCACCGATTTTTACAGGTATTTTGCAATTTTAATTAGTCTGCTGCAAAAGTTTCTTTTTAATTATATTCATTGTCACACTTCTCTGACAGAGTCTGAGAACATAAGGAGAACAGAAAATAAAAACCTGTTTGATCCTGAGTTACCCATTAACAACATATTCCCAAGCTGTCTAACTACAGAAGGAGCTGCAAAAAAGGCAAGATTGGCAACTCTCTATATAATAATAATTCCTGGTTTTGTCTTTAAACTACAGCCTTGGCAATGACACAGCCCTTTGCATCAGATAAAAAGAAAGCTCCACCTCTCTTCCAAGATCCTTCTGTCACCCTGCATAAAACCTGTTGGAGAGACAGATTTTGAAGCATCTTCCCATTTTTAGGGAAAGGGGCTAAGGAGCCACGGACAATTCATTAAAATGTCACAAGATTTATCAGCAACACCTGCAACCCCCAAAGAAGATGGCAGACCCAAGTGGGACAATAAGTTCCAGTATCTCTTAAGCTGTATCGGATTTGCCGTTGGCCTGGGGAACGTGTGGCGGTTTCCATACTTGTGTCAGATACATGGAGGCGGTAAGACTGGAACGGGGCTTGGCCAAAATACTGAACTGCAATTCTCATGCAACTATACTAACTTCTGACGGGCATGGAAATTAGATAATTTATAGCAGTTATACCCCTTTTTAAAACATGCTGATTGTCATTAATGTTTTGCACCAGTTAATTAGCTCTTTCCATAGAAATATATTTAATTACAAAATGATATGTTCAGTTAAGAAGACCAGACTGATGCTGACCTGACTGATGATAGAACAAATCTATGTTGAAGTTTTTATACTGCTACAGTCCCAATGGAAGCAGGAAACTGAACCTGCAGCTGGCTACCTCAAGAAGAAATGAGAAGCCCTGGGGAGGCCTGAGGGAACTGGCCCCTAGACAAATGGCCACTGAACCTCCCTTTGGGATGGTGAGTGAGTCATTCCCCACCCATGCTCTTCGGAGGTACCTCATCAGGTGGAATTGCCTCTGAACAAAACTAATTTGTGCTTTTGGTTGTCTGTGAGGCTGTTTAAAGTGCTCAGCTGATGGAGCAGCAACAGGAGCCTGACAGGTGTCATGGACAGCTGCCTAAGCCTGTGCCTGGGCATCAGTTACACAAAGAATTGCTTTGGAAGCAGACAATTTGGTAAATATAAATGGATCTGAAAAGAGTACTTGGTAACTCACTGTTCACAGAAGCTTTTGAAATCTGTCACAGTAAGCTGTCTAAAGAAGAGGGAGCAAATTGTTTCAGTCCAGTATTATTAATCTTTCAATTAATTGGAGAAACCGAAAATTCACACCTGGAGAAATTGTCAAGTGACAGAAAATTTTATCACATCCAAGTGTGTTTTACTGAGGTGTCTGTATTACTTGATGAACTACATATATTTCAATCAAGCAAGGAACAAGAATGGATGTAGCCTGCAAAGGAAGGTGTTTCAGAGAGAAGCAGCCACTTAGATAGGGACTATGGTGAGTAGGTCAATGAATGATCTATAGCAGGTTGCATCAAGCGAAAGAACCTTGTCAGATGTAAGCAGAACACTAGGAAGTAGACAGAGATATTGCTGCCTATAGTAAGACAACTTCTGAGTCCTTGACTTTTTCTGAAAATCCACTTTTTAAAGTCAACTTTAAAAATTAGACAAAATTTTTTAAGACAAAATGCAGAAAAGTCCCAGCATTTATTCAAGGGTTAGAAAACTTCTGGGACACAAAACAACTTAAGAATTCAATCTATTTAGGCCATGAAATTGAAAATTGGAGAGTATGATTACCATAGCCAATAAACAAGAAAATGGAAATTATTTTGTGGCAAGGAGCCTTTTAAGGCTGAATATGCAACAACTGAGAGTTACAGTTACACAAACAGAAATAAGATAAGACAAGAAGCAGTAGGTTAGATTTCTCCCAGGACATTTGACAGTTTCTATTATTTATTTTAAAAATGTGACACCCAGTGAAACTCCCACAGAAAAGCACCATCACTAGGTGGTTAGAAAGCCAGGACTGCACACTCTTTCTCTGCATTTGTCCATGGGAATTACTGGGGAAAAAAAGTCAATTTAGTTAATGATACTGGCATTTATGAGACATGATGAACATCTTTACAGAGGCATCCCCATAGCAGATATGGCATGAGACCTGCAAGGAAAATATTCTTATGGAGCAGGAGCTGTAGGTCAAATCCCCTACAGCATCTCAGGTGATCTTTCTGTCTTGGAAAGCAAGGGGGAAAACATTCAGGATTAACAAATAACATAATAGAGCAAATATAATGTGATGTTTTTGTAATGCAGCGAATGATTAACACAAAGTGCTCAGTGGAAAGTTTGAAAATCCCAGGCAGGGCCATAGGAAGATGCAGCTCCTCCACACATTTCATTGCACAGAGCAGCTTCTGGAGCCACCAGCTGCAAGAGGCTGCACAACGCTTGTGCTAAGTTGGGATTAAGATGAAATATTGTTCTACTGGCCATAAGAAGACTCTCACACTTTCCTATGAAGCGCCAATTGTTGCTTCTCTGTGGCCAGTGGTGTTTCAGATCCCAGCCTCACTTCAGAAGGAAGCAGCGCTCATCTGTTCCTGAGCTTTGATCTCTCCCTTCCACCCTCCCTTCTGGGGTCCTCTGCACTCCTATCCTCACTGCCCCAAGAGAAGCATGAGTCTGATTGCAAAGAGGTCACTGTCTTATGGACTTAGCAGTGCTCAGAAAGCCTGCTTGCCTGTGCATCCAGCTCCAGAACTCCACTATTGTCCCTGCAAAGAGGTGACCTGTCTTATGGACTCAGCAGTGCTCAGAAAGCCTGCTTGCCTGTGCATCCAGCTCCAGAACTCCACGTCCCTAGAAAGGAACTTCTAGGGACAAAACAGACAGGGGGTACAGCAGGTTTAAAGAGGGCAAAACCAGGGAAATGCTGCAGGGGCAAGGGCTGAGTTGCTCCTTTGCTCCCTGAGCAGTAATGCTGCCAGTGAGAAACCAGCTTAAAATAGCCACCAGACTCAGGAATGGCAAACCATTCCTGCTTTGCATCACCACCAACAGTGGCACAAGACAGTGGTGAATTAAGGTCAATGTATGGATGGGCAGCCAGTGTTTGGTCATTATTGGCCCCTTCAGTAAAGGTCTCAAAGTGCTCAGTAGCAGGATGGACTCTCTAACAGAGTGCTGTGAGCTTTGTGAATAATTTATCCTAGAAAGCTGGCATTGGAAAAGTTGAGTGAGTTATGAAGATCACTGGGAAGACAGAGCTCTTGCATTTATATCTGTGTGTAAAGTAGCTGCATTTTTCTTCTGTTAATTTAAAGCAGGGACGTGGTTTGGGTTTGCATTTTCGAAAGCAAACAACTCAGGTGCAAAAGCCCAACAGATTTCAGGGGTACTGGAGCATAAATCCTGCGTGTATGCATGTGAAGATGTGCACATGGGAGAGACCAGCAGCACTGTGTTTAACTGGGAGCCCTGAGAGGTGCCATGGCTTTCTGCATGCAGCCATAACCATAAGCATGGAGAAACCAGGCATGGATATGGCACAGACATGCTTGAAGGCTGGATGGCTTCTCGGGTAGTTTTACAGCTGGTTCAGGTGATATCCTCATTTCTGCATCTTTTCAAAAACAAGAGATGAAAACAAGTGCTTGTGTATTTGTCTCATGTCAGCTGTTCCCATCAGACCTCTGGCCCTGATTCATTGCACATTAGTGTTACTCAGTAACTCAGATCTAATATAATATCAGTTCTGCTGACATTTATCACCTGCTGCCGTTACTGATTATTTGGGTTTATTGCCTGAGTTAAGTTAGCTATTTACTTTTCATGACTAATGGGTATGAAGGTTGTTTGCCACAGTTGGTAGAGACAAGCGCAAACGTTCCCAGGCAACTGGGATTGAAAAGAATTCTCTCAATAGCCCAGTACAGAGTTTGTCACTTAAAACTAAGACACTAACAAGTCATGCATCTATATGTGTACACAGAGTCATCTGAGTATACTCAGAGAAACAAACTCAGCTCTAGCTAGAACTGACTGCAGTGGTTTACTTTGGATTATAGCTAGTGGATATATATATATGTCATATATATACATGCTTGCTTAACCCATGATTATTAAAAATGTGTATAGTGCCTGAGCCTATAAAATTACTGAAAAATATCTGTAATATAAAATACAGTTTCTTGCTAGGAGAATAAATACACATAAACACTACTATAGGAGGTAGCAGCAACCACCATCTAAACCCCATGCTGCTACACACTACAGTCATGCTACAAATGGGGAACTGTTTACTTCTGGGACAACCATTTACAGACTTTCATAACTCGTGGCCTACTTGACCTTTTGCTCAAATTTGAACTAAAACGTGCTGTGAAATGCCTGGTTCACTGTGTCCTCAAAAGGAAAACAAAGCCTAGGAGGAACAGATTGTATAACTGAAAGATGTAAAAAAAAAACCAAAAAAAAAACCCCAACAAAAAACGTCCCCCCCCAAAAAAAACCCAAAACAACAAAAACAACAACAAAAAAAGAAAAAAAAACATAAAAAAAACAAAAAAAAAAAACCAACCAAACAAAAAAAAAAAAAAAAAAAATAAAAAAAACAAACAAAAAAAACCAACCAAACAAAAAAAAAAAAAAAAAAAAACCACCAAAAAAAAAAAAAAAAAAAAACAAAAAAACAAACACCCCCAAAACAAACATAGTATGTTGGGAAGAGCAGAACTCTTCACTATCTGACAGAAAAATTGGGTTACAGCTAGTAACAAACTTCATTTCCCGGTTTATTGCCATATCCTGCTTAAGCCCTTGGTGAAAAGCTGTGACATGTGGAGTCAATCCTTTCATAATTTGTTATATTTGATTGCCCTTTACATCTCAGGTTGGTGCCTGCTTGCATACTTCAAATTTCACAGGGGAGTTCGCCAAGTTTATTTTATGAGTTATCTGTGGGTGTTACCCATCTTCATTTGAAATGGCCATTGCCCCTTTGGTTTTCTGGACATGACTTAGGCTCCCTCACTGTAGCTCAAGGAGGTATAGTCATTTATGTGGGAAATTCAACCCTGCCAAGTTTCAGTCAGTAAGCTGTGCCTGCAAGGCAGCATGAATGCCATTATAAGTGTGCTGCACAAATATAATGTTTAGAGTAGCTCATACTTTTCATCTGGATTGAGGCATGTGAGAAGACACAAAAGAAGTCATGGAGTGCCATTTTCTAGAGAGAGAGCTGAGTGTGATTAAGTTGCTTTTTTTCACATCTGATGTGTGATGTAATTCCTTGCTGTGTTGACTATACCATACTGTTTAGCCACTGAACTGCCATGGAGAGAATGGATCAGGTCTGAAAATCCCCTTTGAATAGCTAATATGTTTTTCTCTGTATCTGAACAAGTAGTTCTCACCTATTGCATAAAATTGCATAAATTATCTCAGGTACCTTGCCATTAAGTTCTTAGTCTTTTGGAAAAGTACACCCATCCCCATTCCTCTGATGTACCAACAGAACTGATGAAGTGGATCTCTGAATGCTTGCTGCATTTTATCACATTGAGATGTGCTTTCTCAATTTTTCAGACCCTACGGATGCATTTCCTTCAAAACTACTATTTTGTCACTTTCCAGGTCATTTAAGTCTTTATTATAATTCTTCTACTCCCAAACCTCTATCTGAAGAAAAAGTATTATTCATGTTCTGGCCTTTCAAATGCTGCTGTGTCTTTGAATAATCATTTCAAGTCACTTGCTTTTCTTCTGTTAGCTGATTCACAGGCACTAGTAAGATGCAAGACTGAATCAGTCCTTCCTGATTTTTGATCAGTCCTCCCTACAGTTTTTCTCCACCATTTAGGAAGTCTTAGTATCCCAATATCAAGCGAACCTAGTGGGTCTTTTTCTCTGCTTCTCACTGAACCACATCGATTTCTGCAGGTCTTAGTACACGTAGATTAGGAGGTCGCCCAGCTGATACTTCAAACTGCTTTACATTTCCACTAGCCCAGTCTGTGGGTCTCTCTTTCCAAGTGACAAACCCAATTTGGTTGTTTCACTCTGCTTTGCTGGTTGCTGAGAGCCAACTTTAGCCTGTGCTCCTTCCGGAGCCTCCTGGTGTCTCTGTCCCGTGGAGCAGTGGCAGCTCTCCCCAGGCTGCCGAGAGGGTCATGCACTTCCCCCCCAGACTGTCACGTGCAGGTGATACAGCAAAGGTCGTGCTCCTCAAGTTTCATTTTGCTGGACATGGTTGGGCAGCTGCTGTCCTGACCTGACTTGCCTGTGCACTGCAATTGAGGGGTCAGGTTTTAAAATCCCTCTGTGCATCTCGAGTGCACCTGCTCCTTTCCTTCCTACTGCTGTGGCTGTGGAGCTGTCTCCACTCCAAAGGTTCTTCAGCAGTCTTGGTACACACTGGTGCTCCTCCACACTTGGGACTCTCTTGTTAATGACACCAGCTTACCAGTAGTGCAGTTTTTGATAGCCTGATTTGAAAAAGCTTTTGTAGTATTCTGTGCCTTCCCATGTGCAGGGGATTGTTCCACAGCTTTGTGATATCCTTGTGCAGGATTCCTTCCAAAATAAGTTTTGACTCTTGCAAGTTTTGAAGAGTTTGGTTTGGTTTTTTTTCCCTTGACCTTCTTTTAGTACCATGTGTTTCTACTTGCAGGATTGATGCCTTATGAGTCTTTGTCTTTCTGACAGAAAGAATGTTGTAGACTAAAATTTTCCTGAGTCACACCCCAGGGATGGAACTAAATCATGCTTTGGCAATACTTTTTTATTTTTATGGACATTTCTACAGGCTTTTAAAGTATTTAAAAATGCTTCACCACTGTAATTTTCCTTTTTCACTTTTCGAGAGGAAAAAATACCCTAAACTTTTTTTTTTTTTTTTTTTGTAGAATGTACAAATACAAGTTAACGAAAAAATACCCTAAACTCTTTTTTTTTTTTTTTTTTTTTTGTAGAATGTACAAATACAAGTTAATTTGTTGCTTGTGCTTTATGATTTTTTCTGCTATAATTTCCTTTTCTCATGCCCCATGGAAGCCAAATCTACAGAGTTTTGCTGTGCCTGGGCTTAACATCACATGGGTTCTGCTGAGGCTTTGCTGTGCTTGTGTTGGAATGCTCTGGTTTGTGGTACCTGCTGTGCCTTAGGTTCTCTGCTTCTTGGATTTTCTGCTTGATTTCTCATGGCATTTTTTAAAATAGGTACTCATTTTTTGCCTTCTGGCACATCCTCCTCTATCTATTTATCAGAGCCCTCAACTATACAATGCTAGAGGATTCCTACTCACTATTCCATATATCTTACTGTTATATAGCTTACTGTTAATGTTTCTCCATATTTCTCTATAGGTGGGGGATTTTATTGAGGAAAAGAGTAAGCTTCAAGTGCTTCAGCAGACTGTCTGCTCTTTTCCTCTGTTCTTTTTTACTAAAAATATTGTGATGCAAAGGAATGAATAACTAAAAACTTACTTTACACTACAAGCCATTTACCTGAATTAGGTTTGATAAAGATTAGATTAATAAACTATTTCTTGCTAACCCATTCCTTTGCCATATTTTCATATCTGCAGATAGCAGATTATTTTATATCATTCTCATGGAAAATTAGTATTTTTTTTTCCAAGTGTGACATTATGTTTTGCCATGCTGTAAATATGCCTGAAGATACACACAAGCCAGCACAAAGTAAACATGCTCTTATCAGCAGAATGTCTAAACATTCTCTGCTGCCAGTGGTTCAACTAGCAAACAGAGAAGGGGAGACAGATAACAGTTTGCACTAATTATTACCCAGTTATTTCCCAGGAGATATGATATGGGAGATAGTATGGTCTCTTATGGAGTGCTCTGCTAGTGAGGGCTCAGCACGGATTGCAGCTGCTGCCCAGAGCTGGTGGAGAGCCAGGCAGATGGATGAAGAAGTAGAGCACTCCATACTGCAGTGCTCTGGTCACTTGCCTCAACAGTTTGCTCTTCTCAGGAGACAGCCCAAGGCATAAGAAGGCTGGGCTGGCACCCTCAGATGTGCTGTGGAAAGGTGGAAAGGGATACTGCAGCAGGTTTGAAACAGACCACCGGACTGAGCATGGCAACAGGTTACTGGGTTCTTCTTGAAGGGACCTCAAACTGAGGATACTCATACTGGGAGCCTCAAACTGAGGATTTAACATACTGGGAATCAACTGTGAGGTTTCTTTTTCAAATCTGCTTCTCAGTTAAAAACATTTCGAGAATAGAGGTCTTAAGGTGAGACATTTATTTCCAAGTTTGGCAGGTTAAGAACAGTTCTTTGCTGAGAAGAGCTTTGTGATTTTTGTTTCTACGCTTAGCTTGATAAAAGGCTGAACCATACAACAACACACCTTCTCTGGGTGTTGTATGTATTTATTACAGCATGTAACAAGAGGTAGCAAAGTTATTGCAATACAACACTAACTCAAGAGATTAGATTTTATCTACCCAGCCTTTCTAAATAGCCAGTGATTGCAGAACCCAGGCGCCATTCCAGGTGGAGACCAGAAATCCTTGTGCATTCCCCCACCTCACTCTCAGGGCCAAAGACAGAGCATAGAGAAAGTTTCCTGAGCTGGAAGAGCAGAGGTAAGCAGATCGAGATAAGAGGTCTGGAGGTAAATCAGAAATGGCAGAACAAGGCACAGGTTTATTGACAAAGCCATGAAGAGCACAGAATCCGCTCCCTTTTGTAGGAGGATGGGGAGGCAGCTGAGGCAGGACTTCTGTCCTTGTCTCCCTGGAGAAAAGAGACTTTGTGGTTGCTGGTCATGGCAATAAACTTCAGTCTATTCCACCATTTCAATTTAATTGGCCATTTGAGCAGGTGGTACAAACATACTGATGAAACTTCGGGTCTCAAGTCAGCAAAAAGAAGGACTGACACACCAAATGTGTGTCCCTTCTGGGGGAAGGTGGGGGAAGCGAGGCACTGCACACAGTTTAGCAGGAACCAGCCAAGCTGTTGGTAGGACTGGTCCCTTCCCACAAGCAACCAACAGGACACGCTGCTTCTGGCAAAGGGAGATGTTGTGAGGAAAACAGAAAAGATGTAAAGGACACAAACTGGGAAGAAATGAAGTTTCATGGCTCACATGTCTCAGAGAACAACTTCAACCTTGCTTTCAGTTTTTCATTAGCTAGAGGCTCTGTGGTCTGAGCAGAGCTTTATGCAATAAAATAACCTGATCTCTTGGGGTTATACAGCACATAATCCTGCTTTTCCAGAGCAGGACAGAGGAGCACAGGCCTGAGAGCCTTAAGAAATGAAATGAGGCAATGCACTGAAGGGAAAACAAATGGAATAGGGGACAAGCAAACCCTTGTGCTTTATGAGAAGGGGGACAAAAGATGCTTAAAAGAAAGGGAAATGGATGAAATAGTGAGGCTACTTATAATGGGCTGTAGCAATGCCTGAGGGAAGTGTCCTGCAGCACTAAGCATCTTAGTCCCTCCCCCTCCATCTTCACTACCAAAATTACCAGCAACAGATGTCACTTGTAGGTGTGCCTAGCAATGATCCCTCTCTCAACACATCCTACAAGGACTTTGTTAGGCTCATAAAGCAGATTAATTATAAACCAGTAATTTCAGTGAGATGCAGAAAAATCATGTGGCTTAATCACACTTAAATGTCTTTTCAGGGGCTTTCCTGATACCATACTTCATCGCTCTTCTTTTTGAAGGAATCCCACTGCTACACCTCGAGCTGGCCCTTGGGCAGTGCCTGAGGAAAGGCAGCATTGGAGCCTGGAACACCATCTCTCCTTACCTTGGAGGCGTTGGTACGTCCCTTCAGCCCCAGCTCAAGGAACTGCAGACAGCTCCCACTCAGCACTCACTTCCTACAGACCTGTGCCTGATGTGTTTTAGGATATAAAAAGAAATGAATGTGAGGATTAAAAAGAAATATTTTGTAATGAGGGTGTTGAGATATTTAGGGGTGGTTTCCCTAGAGACATTCAAGGCCATGTTGGATGGGGTTCTGAGCAACCTGCTCTAGTTGAAATGTCCCTGTCCATGGCAGGGGGTGGCACTAGATGATCTTTAAGATCCCTTCCAACCCAAACATTCTGTGATTCTGTAATTGTGCATTGCTCTCAACAAGCGTTACTCAGGTACATTTTAGGATCATTTGAAGAGCCTAAATGCAAACCTAATAACCTTTGCTGTGAGGAGCATAATGAACATGGGCTCTGCTCCTCAACAGTGCCCCATACCAACCATACCCTGGTGCTCAACAAGAGCTGCCTGCCCACAGTGCTTCTTGCTCCTCTAGCACAGGCCCTCCAGGACCCAGTCTTCTCTGTCCACGAATAGCCAGACTTGAGGAACGACAGAAAGACAGGAAATCAAGGATCCTGGTACCTCCTAATGAGTCCAAAGCACATGGGAAGGCTCCCCTCCATCAGAGGGTGGGGCTACTGAAGGGATTTTGTCAACATAGCTGGGCATGAGGGACAATCCACATGGCATTGTGCATCAGACTGATATGCAGTCCTCTACTGCCAGCTCTTTACTTATTTAATATATGAAAAACCACATCTGGTGCCCCATGTCCACCACTGTTAGGCTGCAAAAAGTGATCCAGAATAGCCACCAGGAGGAGGTTAAGGCAGACTCTACTGGGTATTTGACATAACACCCTTGTGCCTGCAGGGCAAGGGGAAACTCCTGCATGCTTCAGCCAGCTCTGCTGGATCATGACCTGCTTTAAGCAGGTGCCCGAGATGGGCTTGGCACTGATGGCCCTGCCTGTGGGCCTGTGTGGGAGGAGAAGGGCAGGGTAAGAGGAGTCATCTAAGGGCTGGAGGGAAACAGGAAGAAATACCAAGCTGCAGGCGATGCTTCCAGCTAAACCCATCTCCTACAACCAGGCATGTTCATACTCCCTTGCAAAAACACAAGAAAGCAGAAACTGTGGTGTTGATATTCTTCCCTCCTCATCACAGGAGTAAAACAGTGCCAAATTTAGGGCACCTGTGCATGATTTGGAACAAGAATGGTCTCATGCTGCTACACCACACTATAAAACTTTGGTCTCTTTAGCTTTCTGCTATTACAGTTGTCCAGTATTGTAGAAAACAATGGACTACATACTACAGCAAAGATTTGAACCCTAACCTTGTATGTAAGTAGAGAGTCTCAGCATTTCTGGAGCAGGGCTGGTGATCTGGGGGATTGTGCACCAGTGTTTGGCTATTGAGGACAAAAATGTCCATCCTTCACGGGAAAATCTCAGAATGGCATCAAAGGGATGAAGAAGAAAATCTTGAAAAATGAGGAAACGTGAGCTTCTAACAGCTAGTGCTGTGACTGACTGATAACTTTTTCCAAAACTTTTCTGAAGTGAGATCTTGTGCTTTCTGTAGGAGTTGGTTCGTGGATGGTGTCGATTCTGGTGAGCTTATACTACAACACTGTTTTAACTTGGGTGATGTGGTATTTCATAAACTCCTTCCAAGAACCTCTTCCTTGGAGTGTTTGTCCGCTAAATGAAAACAGAACAGGTAAGTGCACCTCCATGAGCACTGCTAGCAAAACATCAGTTCTGGGTTAAGCAAGAAACCACACTTTATTTCGCCCTGAATTGTGCACAAGTCCTGGTTTGATTTCCTGTTAAAAAGGTACAGGAGTCATGCTAGCTTACTCAAATTCATCATCCTCACAGGAACAATAGCCAGAAAGTCCATGAGTCCTTATGCTTGACTTTAAAATGGGAAACAAAATAAAGATCAAGTTCTGTTATCCATTACAAAACCTTTACTGACTAAAGAGAGACAGTGTACATAAACAGAGTAAGGAAGAACATTCTCAGGTTTTAAAAATATTTTTAAGCTTCCTTTTTTTCTCAGAGCAGGAGAGTACACAAGTTCCAGGGCATAGCAAGAAATACCACCTGAGTAAAAGGCTAAGAAAAAAGACAAAACATAGTGGAATTAAACTTTCTTTTGGAGGCCTTAGGACTGTTCTAGAGTAGGAAGACCAATGGACATTGCAGGTTATGGTGTACAACATATTCCCTGTTCCCTTTTCTTCAGGCATTCCCCCTGTCTGGGCAAAGGGGCCAAAGAGGCCAATGCCTGGGTCTTTCCCCACCACAGGGCCATGACATAGCCAGGGAAGCCTGGACTTAGATGCATCCTCAGTTGCCTGAAGTTTGTTATGGCTCTACCAGCTTGTAGCTATACAGCTAAAAAATTTCATTGTTTCACTACAATTAGTGTAGATTTTACCTTGCACTGAGTGCAACACTGTTTCTAATCAGCAAGTTATTCCCTGTATAAAATGCCGGTGATATTCTGGTGAAGGTCTCTCCTAAGCCTCAAAGTCTCAGCCTGCTGTGAGTTTGTCTTGCTGCACATTACAGAGAGTGCAAAAAGTCCATCTCTGTATTAGATTTTGCAGCCCACAATTTATTCTAACATTTACCACTTTTTTTTTTCAGGGTTTAATGAAGAATGTTATGAAAGCACTGCAGTAAATTATTTTTGGTACAGGAAAACTTTGAACATAACACCAGATATTGCTGAGAGTGGCACGTTCCAGTGGTGGCTCATTTTGTGCTTAGCAGCTTGCTGGGCAATTGTCTATCTCTGCACCATCCGAGGAATTGAAACCACAGGGAAGGTATGGAAAGGGTAGAGAAGTGATTATCCTGCAGTTTGAAATCTTGCCCTCCAGACACTGAGGTTTTACCACAAGGAAAACCCCATTTACCCCATTTTACCCCATTTACCATCCAGTATGCTCCCCGTCCAACAAATTGAGAACAGCAGTACAAGTGGCTTAAAATGATGCTTCTCTCTTTTTCCATTGCAAACACTTCTGCCCTACCAGCCTTTCCTCTCACAGTTGTAAGAGCCATTTTGTTACAAATATATTCTGCAAAAGTAGCCTCTGCTTATTTGAAAGATGGCCATACTCATCTGTAGCTGTCTGATCTAATATTATTATTATTATTGTATGCTGCAATAATTTAAATAGGATTGATTGATCTTATTGCCAGTAACTCTGTCTTCTGACCTCCTTACTTTAGGCAATTTATGTAACAGCAATATTTCCATATCTGGTCCTGACTATATTCCTTATTCAAGGACTCACTCTACCAGGAGCCACTGAAGGTCTGATTTACCTCTTCACCCCTAATGTAAGTATTAGTATTAATTTTTCTTTTACTCCTCCTCAGATTTCATACTATTTTCCAATAACTCCTGGTTTAGATGTCTATCCAAGAGCTCAGCTAAGGTCTTTTTCTGAGATGAAGTGACTTAATTATTTTAATATATTTATACAAGAAAATAAGCAGCAAAGAATTTAACAGTTCAGTAGTAAGCCTACAAGAAAATACTGGAAAATTAAGTTTAAGAATGACTCAGTTTAAGGTGACTCAGTCTTTAATGTGTAAGTGAAACTGATGTACTTCACAAGTACATGAGAAAGATGGGATTTCCCTGCCACTGCTACAGAATTTACACAGTTTTAATCTTTTAAGAATTCACAAAGAGAATTTACACTGTAAAGTGATTTTTTGGAAGGTTGAAAGTAATTTTCCCCTGCCCCTGTTTCTTCATAGTATTTCTCCCCTTCCCCATATCTCTTCCTAAAATAACTGCTGGAGAACAGCCCTGCTCCCATTTTTCTTAACTTCTCATATGTTGAACTTCTCACATGGACAGGAGTTCCAGATCCCTCCACATGCTGGCCATTTCAGAAGCACCTTTCCTACACTGTCCTTGGCAGCATTCCCAAATGCAAAGTCAAACTGTCCCACTAAGTGGTTGCTATCCACTAAAGGCTCCTCACAACTCTGCCTTCATGGCTAAAAAGCTCCATGAAGTGGTGGGTGTAGAGGAGGAAAAGCAGCACTCACTGACACATTCTCAAGCATCCGCTGCCTCCGCAGCCACAGCAGTGCTTCAAACACAGGAGCACTGGATTTTTCCTTTCCTTTCCTACAACAAGAACACAGATATTAAAGAAAACATAAGCCAAGAAGCTCAGAGATATTTTATATGTCAGGCTGGAAAAGGACAAGAGCAAGAGCAAGCTCACATGAGACACTGTTTTATCCCTCTTCCTACAAGCCCAGTGGCACAGACACCCATTTAATGCTGCCAGAATTCAAGGACAAGCTTGGTTTTTACAGAAGATCAGGATATTCACTTACATTTTTGAAGGGCCAGACAGGACTGTAAGCAATGTCTTAGTGAAGAAAGCAGCTTTGACAACACAAACAAAACACGCCTCGGCCTGTCATCAGTTGGTCTCAGCTAGGCTGTCAGGTTTCTCTGGAAGAGCTCAGGCATTTTTGGAATTTAGTTTGCAGTGATCCTGAACTGAATGCAGGAAACTAGATTTGTGTGTACTCACAAAGCCTGGAGGTATTGCAGTGCTGAGGAGGAGCAGATCATCGTAAAAGAGCTGGATGGATTTGTACACTGGAACAGAAGTCAGAATTAAAATCCACCTGCAGAGAGCCTGCAGCTGATGGTCAGCTGGTTTGAGGAAGCAGATCCTGGGCACATCCTTGAAAAGTCATCTGAAGATGGTTTTAGTGATGTTCTTATCTACAAATGTGGAAAAGCTGATGTAACAGCCTGGTGAGTGATACCTGCTATCGGTGTTGCCATTGCACAGAAAGTTAGTGTAAGACAGATGGCTTTGTTAAACTAACCTACCAATTGCTACACAGGGTTGTGGCACTTCAAGGACTTCAAAAGCACAGTAAGCACACAGCTTCAATGCTGCCCTTCTCTCTTCATCTCCTTACTCCACAACTGCAGTACCAGTATTGCTTTTGCTGTTAGGCTATTCCCACCCTCCCTGTGAACAAACACCGGTTTTTCTTTTACACCTCCACAGGAGATGCCTCAAAGTGAGTTGTACAGGAGGGCTGTTAGGCAGAGATTTACTTGGCCCACCCAGACCCCATCAGTTTACAAAACTGTAAAGCATGTTTCTCAAATGTGTGCTATTTTCTTCTTCTTTTCCTGTCTTTTTGCAGAAGTTTTAGCAAAATAAAGTAAGAATTAAATCACCTACTGTCTGTTTCAGCTTGTTTTAAAAATACATAAAATCAACTTTCTTGACATTCTTCCCTGACTGGAGGCAATATTTTCCAATTTCTTTCCAACTCTGCAGTGCAGCAGAAATTGTAGTTTCTCTGTAACAGCTGCTACATCCATTATCTCATAACTGTGACACCTCATTTTTGTTTGTGAAAGTCTATGAAAGTAATACCTAGCACAAAAAGTCCCATCTTACTCAGTTTCAACATCATAGCCACCTAACTGAATTTGTTTTTCTAAACCACAATTTTCTGAAGTTTATTCACTTTCCAAGTTTGGAAAGTGCTAATAAGTACCACAAATAATAAAAGCATGCATATGGATTTTAATTATGTGAGGCTGTGTTTTTATTTTCATGCAAAAATACATAATCAGCTTTTGTCATCTGACACACTTTCTACCTTAAATTTCAGAATAAATAATTAATACTTCTTTTCCTTGACTTTCAGACATACAGAAGTCTGATGATTCATTCACCTTCTCGAAATTCTTGGTTACTTGGAAAATGAAGCTACCAAGAAAACAAAAATGTATCCTGAAGTGACACCGGAGGGGAAAGCAGAAGCTGCACAATGATGAAGCCACACAGGGGCTGGAACAGAACAGACTTCTGGAAAGGTTTTTGGAAAATATGTAACCAGAGGCAGCAGAAACAAATAAACTAGATTCCATCATGCATCAGCAACAGTCTGCATGGTTCAGCTTCAGGGGACACCTGTGTAACCTAAGGAATACAAATATCTCCTTCTCCAGTCTCTTTCACATTTGAAAGAACTTCAGAGATTGTAAATATTTGGAGGTTCTCTGGCAATTAACAATTCCAAGAACTTGGTAGGGAAACTTGCCTGTGCCCAGAACTGAGCAGCTATTTAACAAGCAGAGAGAAAGAAAAAAAAGAAAAAAAGAAAAAAAAAAAAAAAGAAAAAAAGAAAAAAAGAAAAAAAGAAAAAAAGAAAAAAAGAAAAAAAAGAAGAAAAGAAAAAAGAAAAAAAGAAAAAGCACAGACCCCAAATCCTCTATTCACAAAACCATCAGATGTTTTTACACCAAAATTACACATCACAGGGACCCCAGTAATTTTTAATTCTGTTTCTGTCTGTGCTTCACATATACAAGAATCCAAACACCTTATTACTCACGAGGGAGCAATTATATCTCCTTTCCTCCTTACTCCCCTGTTCATTCATTAACACTGATTGTATATCTTCATCCACATGTTTCTGGCATCAGCACATTTTTCTTCTGAAGATAGGCTTATAAAATCTTATGCCATACAAATATAAAATACTTTTAACAATTTGCTGAAGACCAGATAATGACATTGCCATGGCATGCTTTCTTGCCCATTATCTTTTCAAGTTTGGGGGTTGATTAGTATCTTTTGGAGCCAATAAATGCACTGCACCTAGTACCAGTCTAAACTATCTCCAGACTCATTTGCCAAAGTTCCCAGTGAGAAAGCCAGACTTTTAGGAGTCACATCTGTCAGCATCAACTGACTTGGCAGCACTTAATCAAAGTGTGAAGGCCACAGAGCCATGTGTGTGCCAAGTTTCTGCACTGCAACAGCATCTGCACAAGGTCCTGCCAGTGAGCACTCTGGCCTTTGAGGGCTTGACTATGATCTTTCAAAATAAACCTCTAGCAGGGTTTGCCTTTGCTGAATCACTTCAGCCAGCAATGGTTCCTCGTATCTGCTTGTTAGGTTGTGCTGTACAAGAGGTGACACTGGTTCTGCTGTGGTCAAAGCACTGGCCTCCCTGTGGAGAGAGCACCTGCAGTAATGGCATTACCTGAATCCATACAACTGAGGTGGACACATTGTTCTTGCTCTTCAAGCTCAGGCCAGCTTCAGAGAAGCCCAAAATGCAATGAAGGGTCTCGTGGCGTACTTACTTCTCACTCCTACATATGTTCCAGTCATGGACTTGGATCACTAGCACAGGCACACAGACACACAACACACAAGCTGTCCTGCACGACTGGGATGCAGATTTAACTCAGACTGTTGCAAAACAAAGTGAAATAGTCTACAGTCCCAGCATCACTTTTGAACTATCTAGCTTTTAAAACACTTTTAGCAAAACATTCTTCTAGTCCCCATCCTTGATAATGGATCAGAGAGCAATTCACATGGTAGGGTATAACACACCACTTTGTAGTTTCTGCAGGAAAGTAACATTCATTGATCACATTTACATTTTGTGCATTACTCATGTTTTGTCTCTTTCTTTTATATAGATTTCAATGTCAAGATTCTTTAGTGGAGCTATTTAGAACTGCTTAATGTTCTCTGTAATCCACCAATCACTGTTTTTTAATTTACCTTCCTGTATCATACTGCCCTTAAAACAAAATTCAAATTTCACTGTCAGTTTCTCCTTTTTTTTTGTATTACCTATGCTGATATTCTATCTTTTATTGCTGTTTTCACAGCACTCTGAATAGCAGATGCTGCTCTTAATAACTGTTCTCTTCTTGCCTGCTTGTACTTTTAGTCACTTCCATTAAATTATTTTTAAGCAAATTTGGACAGCTACAGAATCACTTTCTTCTTAAAACAGTTTAGGTTTAGTATTTGTTTATAGAGTTTTAAGAAGACAATATTCTTTAACTGCAGGTATGTGAATTTAAAAAAAAAAGAAAGTAATTGAGGAAAAATATATTTTCCCTACTGTGTTTCTAGTGTCTTTCACTTAGAACCACATTTTTATCATCAGACAGACGAAATGTACAATAAATAAGATTCTGTAATTGTTGCACACATTTAAATAGCCTCAATGATACTCCTGAAAACACTTGTTTTACTGACCTGTTTAGTACCTATTCTCATTTTCACAGTATTTAGATGGCAACTCAGCTCAAAATTTCAGAAGTGAAATAATAGATGAGCTATGAGACAGCAAGAGAAAATAAATTTTAATTTAAGCCATGTAATAATACATGTAATACATGCATTTCTTTCAATTATTTCAGCTGAACACTTTGAAAAATCCCCGTGTATGGCTTGATGCAGCTACACAGATTTTCTTCTCTCTCTCTTTGGCTTTTGGAGGGCTTATTGCATTTGCGAGCTACAATCCAACAAAGTGAGTAGAACTACAACCTTTATTAGCTGGCTGAATTCTTGCTGCATTTTGTGCAATTTCTTAAAACTTTCAAAATGTTTCCCTTAATTTTTCTAAAGGATCTTTAGAAAAGTATCTGTCTTCCTAAAAGGCCCACTAGATTTTCTAACAGAACAGAGAAGGGGAGGGAGGGAGAGAAGACATTTAAAAAAAAATGTTTGTATTAATAACTGCATCACAGATAAGAAAACCTGCCCTTTTAATCACTTCACTTGTTTGAATGCTATCTCTAGAAATGACTGTGAAAAGGATGCTGTGACAGTAGCAATTGTGAATAGCGTGACATCTCTCTATGCTTCCATCCCAGTCTTTTCTGTGTTGGGGTTTAAAGCAACCACGGCCTACTGGGACTGCTTGGACAGGTGAGAATGCCGTGTTCCCGAAGTTATACTGTGGTTTTGGGGCCTAAATAGATAATGTGATAATGTGTTATTTGAAAGACATATAAATTTGAGAAATTTATTTTCATTAGAAAGGAAAAGCACCTCTATGGAGAAGTTTAATGTAAAAATATAAAGTACTATGGGATTGAGTCAAGGGTGATCATTTGTAAGAAGTAAGACAAATTGCAGAACAACCCACTTCAAGTAGTACACCAAGGCTTGCACCTTACTCTCAGGATAGCATTAGAAGTAGTAAAAATCCCCACTTTTTTCTACTTCACCAGAAATTTATTTCACTAACTTATTAAACACAAGTAGTAGAAATGGTCTGGAAATCTGATAAAACAAAAATGTTTTAGAGACTGCATCTGTATAAAGTACTCAGCGTTTCTGTCCGAGACAACATTAAATAGACTGAATATTTTCTATTTTATATATAAGCTGCCAATTAATATTCTCCTTTATATTGTAAATAGCAGCACAGAAAGTAAACACAACTTTGGTGTAGCATCTGAATACACAGCATAGCATTTCCAGCCACATCATCTGCAAACTTTTAAACTAAAGTTTAAATATGTTGGCTTCTCTGGCAGGAACATTATCAATATCATCAATGAATTTGATCTTCCAGAAGAAAGCATAATGCGACAGAACTATACATCCTGGATTAGTTTTTTGAATTCATCATACCCAGAAAAAATTGCTGGACTCAAACTGAAAAGCTGTGACCTTCAAGAATTTCTTGATCAGGTACCGTAACTGCTTTCAACAGGTAATCCTTAAACAGAGGTAGTAGGTAAGAGGATTGGTATCTTCCTTTTTCTTTTAAGTACACGTACCCTGTCCTACCTGCAATTATATATTACACAATCATGCAACAGATCAATCTTTCAACATTTGAAATAACAATACTGCTGTAGGATAGTCTGAATGTATAGCTGTCTGTTATGGCAAACAAAACTGTACATTATAACCACAAAACTGATCTTGCAGGGTGCTCCCACCAGAAGTCTACCATGGACACTAGATTCAGTGCTACTTTGATTTACAAAAATAAGCATAAGGGGGGAACACATCTAGATGAAAGATGATAGAGAAAGGATGCTGAATGGGAATTTCTAAATCTGTATTTAGGAAGGTATCAAAAATCTATTACAATGTACACTGTTCACCACCAAAGTACATCACAAGCCTCTCCTTATTTTCCAACCTTCCTCTAGCATTTCCCCTGCCACTAAACACAGATGTTTCTTCTCTGTTTTCTGGTCCTACCTCATTTCACTTGCTCCAGGGATCCTGTTTGGCACAGTCGGTATGTGCTAATGCACGACAGGCCTAACACACAATAATGGCAAAGTAGGCTATTTTACTCTCATGATGGAGAAGTGCAAGGACAAGATTCCAGCCCTGGTAAAAGTCAGTTTCTTCTGTCTCACTTCTTCTGATGGCATCCATTTCTGATTTACAGTTGGAAATATTTTACTTCCAAGTTAAAGCAACATTAGCATTTTTCAATTGTCCTTGGGAGACTAAATCAAAAGAAACTTGGTTGAAATTGGCTTTTGCCCTGTTAGTCTTTTCTGCCTTGGCCATTACAGGGGGTTTTGTGACCAGTGATTCATGAATTCTCTTGGTGTTAAGAGTGATAATCATATCCTTATTTTTACCTCTTTTTTTCCAGAATATCATAGATTTTTAAAGAGCACATTTAAGATGGTATTAGCAAAACAATTTCTATTACAATTACAACTCTCCAATCTACTTTACTCTGAACCCATCTCTCTGTGCAGGCTAAAATTCTGCTCTATGATTGTCCAGGTATCTCTAGAACGCTTGAAATTAAACTCTCCACTGCACATTTTCTCAACTGCTGGCTGCCCACTGGGTGACCAGCAACCTTGACTCCAGAAAAGGACAGCAGTGTGTTATAATTACTTTATGCATGAGAAATGACATTGTAATGTGTATTTTTATCCATCTGTTTGTGAATGCTGCAGAGTGTCTCAGGAACTGGCTTGGCTTTCATCGTTTTCACTCAAGCTATCATCCTCATGCCAGGCTCCCAAGCCTGGGCCATCCTGTTTTTCACAATGCTGTTCAGCTTGGGCCTTTCTTCAATGTTTGGAAACATTGAGGGTGTCTTCACTCCTCTTCTAGAGCTTCAAATTATACCTAAGTCAGCACCTAAAGAGCTATTATCTGGTAAGGTATTTGCTTTGTTCAAAGATGGTGACTTCCTTACAGATGCACAAACTATTAAATGCTTAATTAATATCACAGAGGGGTTAGTAATTTTTAGTATGAATTTAGCTGAATGTCACAGTGCAAGTAAGGGCAGTGGATTGTGTTTGCAGAAGATAAGCAGAGAGATGAGGTAGCAGTTATGGCAGAAGCTGTCAGGTGACTATATTGTATTGCCTTGGCCAGTTTTTTTCTTAGTTTGCATGTTAAGCTGTTCCAGTCTGAGAAAGCTTGTTAAATTGCTATTCCTGGAGTCCAGTCCACTCTGAGCTGCTGCAGTCATCAGGAAGAGCCTTGCCTTCCCTTAAGCCTTTGGCACTGATACAAATCACTTTAAGGCACCCAGTGACATCAGCTGGTCTGCCATAACCACGTGCATTTGAACTTACCACTGCAAGAGAGGTCATTCACCCCTATTTCACTCAGGTTTATGCTGCTACAGATTCACATTTACTGTGAACAGGTCAGAGTAGAAAATTACCACTTGAAAACGAGGAATAAAGGTTTGTGATCCTGTTCTGGCACAAAAACTGGAATCTTTTCAACCAGCCATGGTTATTGAACGAAATCTGCTCCTGAAGAACCAGGCTGGATGAGAGTCTGAGAGATCCTACCATGAAATTGGTCCAGAAAAATCTATGGCAGTTGCAAGTAATGGAAAATATTTCTGCAATGTGCTGTTTTAAATTCTTATGGGAAATACTGCTGTCATGCCTTTTGTAGGGTCTTCCTGTGGCATCTAAATTGTATCCCTAATTTTACAATTTTTCACATAAAAACAAATTTATTCCCAACTTGATGAGTTACCAATATTATTTTTAATTGATTTTACAATTGTGAACTTTAAAAAATAAAAGTCTGGAGCCAACATTTTACAGAATTGAACCAAAGGCCATCCAGATTTAGAAGCAATTAGCCACACATTAGAAAACTGATTTGTAGCCTGTGTCTGTGTCCAGGAATTACCCTAAATCTAAATCTTGGCTAAAGGTGAACTGGCTGTACAGAAGCATGCTGAAACCCAAATGATACATGCTGGAACATAAGGGACATCCACATTTGTAGCTCTGAGTTCTTTGAGGAAATGGGGACAGAAATCCAGGGAGTCCTTACACTTCTAAGGTGGCACCTGCCTGTGGTTTAAGTCTATGGCTGCATGGAAATGAGGCACTTGAAACTCACTACAGCAGTCAAAAATGAACACTGGCTCACAGCACAGCCCAGGCTGTCTGATGGAAGGAAGCATGAACTGAAGGATGCTCTGAGTCACATGAATGCATTCCTCCTGCAACAGTAGTGCTCTTGGCCAACACACAGGGGAAAACTGAGTTTGGGAAGTAGTATTAGCTCCCATAATGAAAAAACAGCTTGTTGTAACTCCACAGAGTGCGAGAGAATAAAAATTATTAGAACAAGAACAAAGCAATTTAGAACAAAAATAAACTTACCAGTACTCTAGTAACAAAGATATCTTTTTTTCTTCAGGTATAATATGTCTAATTAGCTTCCTCATTGCTCTGTGTTTTACACTGGGTTCAGGGAGTTACTGGATTGACATTTTTGACAGATATGCAGCTTCAGTGCCTCTTCTAGTCATCGCTTTCTTTGAAGTGATTGGAGTTGTGTACATCTATAAAATTAAAAGGTATGTTGGAAAGAGATGAAATTTTTTTCTTCTAAGACATAAATGCAGCTCAGGGTGCAGTAACTTTGACCCTGACCTGATTTGATTTGGTGCTGGTAACTGAAACATCTTCCTAGCATGCTATGTTTATTCCCTTGGCAATTTTGTCTTTCTATTTTAAATATCTGAACAGTTTACCAAACTGCTGCCATATTACCATAATTTATTTAAGCTTAGAAACCTTACACTACATGCTCAGGTAATTAAACTGACAATGTAAATTGGTCATTAATCTCTGGTATGGCTCAACAAAGACCTACTTGAATGATATTATTATTTACACAAGCAAGCAGTGAGTTATTAAAGAATAGTGTGGAACAGAAAACATTTACGGTGCTGTACTCTGTGTTTCCAACTTACAGGAAGCTATAAAACAGGGAAACTGTTACCACTCTAGATCTGACATCATCATAAACATGCCCTCTTTTACAAGGTTCAGTGAAGATGTGGAATGGATGACCGGACGAAAACTCAGTCTCTTCTGGCAGATCACATGGAGGTTTATTAGCCCTCTGCTCCTGCTAATTGTCTTCATGGCCTTTGTTATTCTTCAGATGCAGAAGCCGCCAAGTTACACAGCCTGGAATCCTAAATATGTATGTGCTCAAATATTTTTTTAACTTCTAAAAAAAGGAAGAATTATCTATTTTCTTCCCTTACCAGATCCTTTAATATCATTGTTATCTACTGCTGACCCATTGAAAATAGCTTGAAGTGATGTAGTGCTCAGAATGAGAAGGCTCCAGTGTGCAAAGAGGTTACACATACTAAAATGTGTCTCCTCTTGAGGTGTCCTGCTTATCCCAGGCTCCATATTTCTTACGGATGTGTGTAATGCTCAGAAGTGTTGAAGTGAAACTTGTCACAGACATTCCATACCCACAGGGGGTTCAGAGGTAGAACAAATCTCTGAGCAGAGCTTTAGAGCTGCATAACAGACATCAGGGATGAAGGCATTTCTCAGTGAGAACTACCAATATCACTGGGGCCCTGGTGGGTATATGAATGTGCACTTTGGACAGGCAGACAGGAAAGGCAGTGGTCTGAGTACAGTGTTGGTTAATTCAGCAACAAAGACATGTCCATGCTGAGAACATTTCATCTGGATGTCACTGTCTCACATCAATTGCAATTTCTTTGACCATTCTCAAATACACCCTTGTGTGGGGGTTTGAAGATTGGTTCTGTTCCTGAACTATATGAGGATTACACAGCAGCAGTGTCTCCCCCAAAGGCCATCACGTGTCTATCATCCCAAATAAAACTCATAGCCACAGAAATTGCTCTACCACCATTCCATCAAAATCTCTGGTATGCAACTTCCCTATGTGACAAAAAACATACTCAGTAATTGTTGAAACCAGTTAAGCTTTGTGTACAACAAGAATGAACATAGTTTAACCAAGAGAGGGTGAAGATTTGATAACACTTGGGGCAATCCCCATATCCCTAGGAATGTGTCAGCTATACAGCTTTGAAAGTGTAAAACATTTACAGCTGTCTCTAGACCCACAAGAAGGGTTTGCAGAGGACACAGCCACTGACTGCTACTGTAGACAGAGTAAAACTTGCTATCCTTACTAAAACAGTGTAAGAAAATAAAAATTCATGGCAAAATCAAAGTGTACCTATGAATTATTTCTTTTGCTTGCTTTTTTATCTCCACAGGAAGGCTTCCCCATGAAAGAGGAGAAAGTTTATCCAGCTTGGATACAGGCCATTTGTGTGCTGTTGGCTGCCCTTCCTTGCGTGTGCGTGCCTCTGGTAGCGCTCTTCCACCTGGTCAAACAAAAGTGCAGGAGCAAGGACCCAAGCTTTGTACCACAAGAAGTCTCCTCCTGTCAGGGGGCTAACAGCAACTTTTCTCATCCAAAAGAATAAACATCCATTGTACCTGTCTGTAAGCAAAAATAAGACAGACTTTGTTAGACATTATTAGCTGTCATGTAGTATCATCCAACCAACCTGCTATACACAGTTCATATGCTTACAGCAATCACTACACTCTGTAAACAATGCTGTTGTGTTTCCTTTAATTTCAACCAATTTCACAGCTTCATGTATCTCTCCAGCCAGAATTTGAACTTGGAAAGCCTGTTAAGTATTTTTGCTGGCTTCTGTCTTTCTTCACTTTTAAAACACTGGTCTGTTCCCAAGCATCAGCAACAAAAATTGGAACATAAGCACTTACAGTTTCACTCACTGTCCTGCCCCCCTGCTCCAGGAGATGCAGAATGGGAGCCCTCTAAGAAAAAGGACTGCTTTTTAACACCACACTCTAATTTTTGTAAATCCCTATACACACTTAAATAGCAATAATTTTGTGATTATTTCACATTCTCAAGCACTGCAAGGGGCAAAGATAAAGCATCAGCACATAAAGAATGTAAAGTAAATTTGAGCAATTAATTCTACACAAATATCTTATCTTAGCAGATTCCAGAATTTATTGTAGTGGAAAATACTGTTAGAAAAAGAGTCCCCATTTTCTCCCCTTTCATTTCTCATGCTAAACACAACAGCTGAATAGCATAACAAAAATGCAGATGTATAGCAGCCTTTCAGTGAGCTGCAAGCTTACAGAACATGACAATGAAATGAATCTTTACTGAAAACCAGGATTTCCTGTACTTGGCTGCAGATTCTGGCCACTCTGTAGTGCTGGGAGATGAGGATTCCTCTTGTCACAATACTTAAGGAATCAGCAGCCTCTGAAAAAATATGGAGAAAATATGTGAGGATAAAGTATGACAACGGCTTTAGGCTTAGTAACTGAGTCAAGGAAGAGAAAGGATTAAGGTTATAAAGCAGTAAATACATAAATAAGAGGTTTTAACTAATTGGAACATACATTTTATACTCATGTTTCTGATCACAGACCAGAATGTTCATTAAAATCCTATAGGCAACTACATGCGTCAGGTTTAAGTAGTCAGAGTTCTGTTCTTAAAGATGAAAACACATCCAAATAATACAGAGAAAAGTTGAGAAAATAATTAAACTAGATCTAAAAGACCTTCAAATCTATAAATCTGTCTTGAGTCACTGTCACGGTGTCCAGACTTGACTTTTGAGCTGTCCCTTCCATTCAGCAGAAGGAAGACTTTATGGATCACTGGACATGCAGTTCAACCCAGGACAGGACTCTGGGGGAGGACAATTTTCAGCCCCAGTAACTACAAATGATGGCTGGGAAACACAAGCTGAAGTTACTGTTTAGCTCAAGTAGGCATGTAAAAAAAGTGTTGAGCAACTCTTGCATGAACACTGCTTTTCTGTTGTCAGTGCATTTCTGATATTACAGCTACCAAAAATCCAGAACTGTAGCCTTATTCCAAAAAAGTATTGATATAGGTTCCCCTTCTTAATCATGAACAGTAAGATGACATCCTATAGGCACATTTTTCTCCTGAACAGCTCGACTGTTTTACTTGAGGAAGCACCTGTTTGCAAACACCTTCCACTCACTCTTTTTCCAATCTTTTATCTCCATATTCCATCAAATCTTCTTTGCTCTAATACCCTGCTGTGAACTCATAATGTTGTGGCAAGACAAGACTTTCCTAGAATTGTCTAGACTACAAGAACCACCTGGGCTCTTTGGGGGTAAATCAGTAAACGACACAAACACAGCTATGGCAACATTCAGCCTTAGCCAGAATCCACAGTCCTAAAACAAGGAGATCAATTGCCTATTAAAGGAAAAAGCCTCAGAAGGAGCATTGGAACAGCACTATAAATAGGGACACATCCAAATTATCATAATACAGTCAACAGAAAATAGATGCAGAAAGAAAAGCACAATCCGTCTGGAATACAAGAATTTCCTATGTTGTGAAATTTGACACCTACCTCAACTGAGATTCCCAGTCCATGTTTCCTTCCCAAAAGGAAACAGTGGAGAGATGGACTTGTTTGATGGCTGCATCCAAGATACTGTGATTTCCGCTAGAGGGACTTCTGTCAAATTCCTTCCTTACACCTCTGTAGACACACTAAAAACAATGTTCAACCCTATTTCTCCCCCTCCCCATTTAAACCCTCCAGCAAGCTCAACTTCCTAAGTGGTTTGCAACACTTGCAGCACAGGGAGTTACGTTCAGTGGCTTAGCTCTCAATCCCTCTACTTACCTTCTCTTAAATACTGAGACCTTAACCCTCACTGCAACTCTCAAAGATTTTGAAATTTTCCCAGCTGTACAATGATTGTCGAAAACCCACATTACAGATTCAGAATGCTCCTAAGGTAATTCATTTAATATTTCTAGATTCGAGTTATTCACTCTACCCAAATGTTTCCTGTCAGCAGTTGCTGTTTAACGCACTGCCTTGCTACCAATTAAGTAGAATATATTTTACCACCACAATGGATCACGCTATTTCTTTTAGAACAATTCTGTGCTGGAATAGCTTTATGGAATATTTCTACCTTCCCAACTTTATAAACATCTATTTTTAGAGCAAAAACTGTGTGCCCCTGCCATGGTTAATCTATTCCTTACACATATACTGATAGTATTTTCTTTCCAATTATCATAAGCCACAGCAGCAACTTCAAGTTTCCAGTACAGACTGCCAGCTCTTCTTCAATTCTCCAAATTCTCCACTTGCTAAAACACATACCAGTTTCACTTTATTTTCATTTGCCTTTTTGGGGGAAGGATATTTTTAATGAAATAATCTTCTCTTGTGATTTCTACACTATATTTGTATCTGTTTACAAACAGCTACTCTTTAAAAGTGATGACTCAGCCAGTAATTGTTGGGAAAGACTCAAACATCAGCTCAGAGAATTGCAAGCATTACCCTGCATTCATTTTTATAAAATAACACCTTCAGGTGAGACCACATCATAAGTTTATATTCTCACAGAGAAAGATGGGCTAATCCAAGTCATTGGTGAAGTTTACATTCCCTCCTTTCTTCATGTTGGAGCATCTTGCTGTCTCTTCCTGACACATGATCCCATAAAATAAAGCCGTCTGCACTGCCAGGCCTCTCTTATGAAATGCTGTCCCTGATAGTGCTCCCTCATCCAGTATCACTCAGACTACTGAGAGGCATGGGGGTGTTTAAATGTTTGAGCTGCTGGCTGGAGAGCAAGAGTGTTGTTCTTCATCTCTAGTAGGAACAACTGCTCTGTGACTTTTTTAAAAGGTATTTTAAGAGTGCCACTTCGCAGACAGAAGAAGCCCAAACCTGTATGACTGACTGCACATTTTGAACTGAGTTAGGATGTTAATGGACAGACTGCAATACTGCAACTCAACCACCCTGTGTGGTGGGGATTTGCCAGGGATGAGGCAACCATTACTTCTCTGGGCAATCTCTTCCAGCAACTCAACACCATCACACTAAAAAATTTCTTCCTTATATTGAATGTAAACCAAACTTCAGTTTAAAGCCATTCTCCCTTTTTCTACCACTACATGTCCTTGTAAAAAATTTGGTTTTGGAGAGCCAAAGGCATGCAAATAGAAAAGCAATATACTTGGTATATTATCTCATCAATAACTTTTGTTTTGTAGGTATAAATGCACCAGCATCATTCTGTACAACACTGTATTAGAAATATCACTAAGATTTCAAAATAAATAAAACCTACACCAAATATAATCAGCTTGGACAGTGAAATTTGGGCATATATTATTTGTGATCTGCAAAGCATAAAATTTCTAGCCTCTACATCTTGCCATGAAATGCATTTGCCCTGTGCAGGTAACTGCTTTTTGTGACGTAAACCAGCATATTAAAGCTTACTATAAAATAAAGGTCATGGAAACAAATGTGTTATTGCAATTAACCAACCAATTTATTACAAAATAGTCTGCAACACAAAGAAGTAAAAAACAGCCCTTCATTGAAACAAAAAAGTTAATAATTTTGTACAAAACATAGTTTAATGATTCCTTCATCAAGAAGGAAGGAACATAATCAAGTAAATTACTTCAAACAGCCTGTGAATTTACAAAAAAAACCACAAAAAACAAACAAACAAACAGGAAGGCATTAACAAAACTGTCTGCTCTTTTTGTGTCCTTGTAGGGTGTCTGAGAAACAGACACATAACACTTCTGGTGAACTTGCTTTTGGCCCACTGTACCAAAATAAACTACAGAGAAGTCACCTAAAGACATAGCATTTATTTTCAAACCTGAGAAAATTATGAAGTAAACCTCTATCAGTTAGTCCAGAATAGCTTTGAAATCTTGACAAAGAGATGGTTCTGTCACTGCCTGCAGTAGTGCCATAGTATCCTTTGGGATCCTCCTGATTAGCTTCTTCTTACCTACCAAAACATCAGAAACAATTCATTACAACTGCAAATAACTATTAATTCTGGTTTAGGGAAAATGCTAATGAAGCAATGAAATCAATACTAGCTAAAACCACCTAAAAAGCTGAAACACCTGGAATATGGGGACAAAAAAAGCAAAAATAAAATATGCTACTGTTCCTCCACACTTATATCAGGCTAATAAATAAAAAAGTTTCAAAATTGTATGTGAAAATATTATCAAAGAAAGCAGGAGGAATTTGCTCCTTGATTTTCTGTTTTTATGGAGCTTTTTTTTTCAGATTTGAGAACTTCACTGAATTTTGAAAAGTATAAGCCCATTTATTAAACAACTTTAACCACCAAATAAGGCCTTCCATTAAATCCCGGTTACTTTGAAAGACCGAGTGTTCCATCAATAGAAATACAGACAGCAAAAAGGACTTCTTATAGATTAGAAAGAACATGTAAAACCCTAGCAACAGTTTAAGTCCATCACTAAACAGAGTCAGCAAAATTGTCAATGATGCAGAAAGCCAGAAGTACTCAATAAACATTTGCCCTGTATCTGGAAAGGAGACAGATGATGTATTTATATCTCATCATGATAAGGAAAGACTCTTGCTCCTTTCCCCACTGGTAATAATGGGAGGGATGTTAAACAATAACTGTGTTTTAAATACTTAACTCTGAAGAATGATGACAACTCATGACAAGCCCCTGATGTTGATATGTAATAGGTTTGGGAATAGTGGGAAGAACCTCCTCCCCAAAACCTATGAGCTTGATTTCAATTCCCATGGAGAGCAATGGAAAGGCATGTGCAGGGACACAAGAGAAAATCACATTTATATCAATTTCTGTCAACAAGATCATCTTACAGAGGTAATAGTGTTTAATAATTGTGTTTAATACAACCAACACAAACTCCAAAATGACAATAGAAATTGCAGGTGTTAAGTCAACACAGGGGCTTTTACCAGCCTTGTTTATCTCCGTGCTACAGATTACTGCAGCATGCAGAGATACTGGGCAAACTTCACAGGATCCCACCTGAAAGTCAGTGACTTCCCTGTCATGACTACTGACATCCACACATGCTACCCGATTTCAGAATATAAAACTTAAAATACCATGTTTAGAATTAGCTCTGACATCTACATAATGCTTAGCTTTCTAGTAACCATCTCTACAAGATTTTCTGATTACAATAACATTGCTCAGGGCTAGGTCTGGCGCAGGGCAAACAAAACTAACTTGTAACTACATAGAAAACTACCAATATCTCTGTAAATGGATTTCATTGTATGCCCAAAGGATCGGGACACTCAGTATAGTACCAAATTCAGAAGAAAATACAAATATAAACACAAATATGTACAATCAGAGTCTGAAAAACAGCCTTCACTTATGACCAGAGACCTTGGGGATACAGAGATAATGAAGCCCGTTCACACCAAGGGTATGCATGTCACTTGTCAGCACAAGATGTCTTTGTACAGCTCCACCAATTATTGTATCAACCCCTGCTACACCAGTGGAACAGGGCTAGTAGAAGTATAGGTAGATGTTAAACTGGCTATAAGCAAATGGAGAGACAGCATTTGAATTACTTGGACCCCAGTGATCTGTCAACCAATCAAAGAGAAAGTTTCCATCTTAAAAGTTTCATAGTAAAGTCACAGCCTGCTAATTGTTCGGGTAGCTGTTAAGCAAAGATTTCTGAAGCCTTGATCTCTCAGTAGAGCACTTGAAGTCTCAGATATTTCCAAAATAAACTGGACTCTGTAGACAAGAAGAGTGGATTGTCTTAACACTATGGATTCTGCCTCAGAGAAGGTAAGATTTATGAAAGAAAAGTAGAAAATTACTCTTTTCAAGAGAATGCCACCAACGACTTTCTACAGACCTTTGGACTTTTCCTGCTCCACCTCCACAATACTCAGGAAGTACAATGTTAACAGCCTTCCCCAGGAATTTAGGAAGAAAGATTATTCCCTTTCTAAAGGGCAATTCTCACTGCCAGAGAAGCCAACTGACAGGTCAGCTTTCTCTTCCTGGGTAAGAAACTGTGCAGAGTTAGGCCTGGACCACATGCAAGTTTCAGGTCGGTATCACAGTTAGGCAAGCAGCTCTATGGGTGCAGCAGAAGGAACCTAGTGACAATCACTATTCAGACTAGGAAAACTTCACCTCTACTTCCCAGCCCATTTTCCCTGGCATCTGTGGTGGTGTGACTTTGTGGACGGCTGAGACCACTTTTATGGCTGATGCACACAGCCATGGAAGCTGAGATTCTGCTGCAGTAAAGCTGCCTGGGACTGTGCCTCCACTCTGGAAGTGTGCACAGAGTAAACAGCAAAGCGTGCACAGAGAAGGATGGAGGAGCTTTGGCTTGGATTGTGGTCCGCCAGTCAAAGATCCCAAGAGCAAAACCTTTAGCATTAGAGATGAAAACTCAAATGTGTCCTATATGGATCTCAGAGAAGTGAGGCAGCTCCCAGAGAAGCCACTGTCCTATTTGTTGTGCCTACTGCATTCTCTGCTTAGTCCTGGTCTCATCCAAGTGAAGCAAGCAGCCCTGCCCTGGCTTCTCAGCAGCAGTGAGCAGACTTGGGGCCTCTGGATTTGGTGTCATTGAGTAACTCAGAGAAGGAGCTCCTCTGGGAAAGGCTGTTGGAATTCTGCTCCATACAGAAAGTCCACAGGTCTCAAGAATGTGGCTGGCAAAATCCCAACCATCAGTTTGTTTCCTGTGAAAGCGTGTCTTCTTGATACATTCACACTGCACCACCAAAAATCAGACTGCACTCAGGCATTGCTGCAAGCCTTTGATATGGGAAGGAAATGCTTCCTTCCAAAAGAGCTGCTTTCTTTTGGGGGCACTGGGATCTCAGCAGCTATCAAAGGAAGCTTATATTTCAAATCAAATAGGTGTTACTGTGGAATGACTCACTCAGAGGGCAAATCACAGAGTCAGCATTGAGAATCTGACCATCACCGCAGCTAAATTCATCAACAGTGCTGGCTGCTTCAGGAAAACATTTTACTGTCTACTTTTAGTATCTTAAAACTGAAAATTCTATTATTTCTGGGGCTGGCCTGCAGGCAGACTGCACAACTGTTTAAGGAAAGAGCTCCCCAGGGGCCAGGGACACAGACAGCTTCTTTCACCAAATGGAAGTGTCGGAGACACACCAACACCACTACTCTGCACTGCTTCTGTTTCCAAGTGACTCTGGTGACACTTTTTTGGGTAAAAGTTTAAATTGTGGAAGAAGCTTATTTAGTTGCCAGTTAATCTACATTTTTAAAAATAGATTGAGCATGTGTTTCATTTAGTTAAACTTGCTGACAATACTTACATATTTAACACTGTCTTGTTAAGCCTTCTGGACTGTACAAGCTTACTGAGTGCCAAGCATCAACTGTCCTATGAGAATAAGGCTCTAGAAAATGCAGTGCTGGAAAACATTTTAATCTGCCTACTTATACTTAGTAAATTTGAATAAAATCAGAAAGACCATTACTGTACATCTGAGAACAACATTTTAGGATTACAAAACTTTAAAAATCCATTAGATTTTAAATTTAATTACAATGAACCATAGACAAAATGTAAAAATTGCTGAATACTTACAGACTTTTAAGGATGTAAGCAGACATTTGTAAACAGCTTTGTGATTTAACAGTTTGACAGTGAAGGCATGATAGCAGAGCCATTCTGCTACCTGAATAGGGAATATGCCAGATACACCTTTGTTAGCTTTAGCAATCCCTAGAGATAGAAAAAGAAAATAATGTAACTGAAAATGATGAGCATTAAAAAGCATGTCTGGTCTCTCTTCCCTTTCTATAAAAATCACCCCAGGATTTTTTACTAGAAACCTGTGCAGTCAGTGAAGTCTTGTGCACCAGCAGAAAACTAAGAAACTAGTGCCTGAAACACAATCTTCAGAAAACTTGAGTCTAAGAAGAAAAATGCACTGTGATTCTTATTAAGCATTTCACATTATTAATTCCTGATCTTTATCCCAAAATTACACCATTGGACTGCGCATTCAAGATGTTCTATTTGTCTAAAAAAACCCCAAACAAATCCAAACCCACTACTTCATTGCCGTTAACATCCTATACCTGCATTTACTGTTTTCAGGATAGCATAGCAGCATGATGCAGTCTGAGAGATAATCCTTAGGAAGAAATCAGGATTTTTTCTAACTTGCTGGTTGAATGGTAATTGGAGAACACAGGCATGGAACCTGTTCACAAAAACAGCCTATTTAATAAAAAGTCATTTGCAATTTCAAGTGAAACT